CAGTGGAGTGGAGTGAGTGGAGTGGGTGCAGTGGAGTGGAGTGAGTGGAGTGAGTGCAGTCCAGGCAGAGGAAGAGCTGCAGGGCTCTGAGAGCCTTAAGCTCACCTGCCTAGGAGCAGAAGCATTCTAAGTGCTGCTTTTCAGGAAGGCAGCTCTAGAATGTGTGAAAATCGCACGTTTTAGTTGTCCCTGAGGATTCTATTTTAATGGGTAATACCCAAATCCACTTTTCTTTCTTCTCAACAACAAAAACATCTTGCTAATTTGGAGAGGGGGTTAAGCCAAAGTAAAATGACAAGATTTAATGAAGTTTTATGCTTCCCCCTTATACTTAGACTATGAGAATGGTTTTGGAAAATAACAGGAGCGTCAACACTCTGAAGTCAGACCTGCTGGCCATCGTGAAGGTTCCTAAGAAAGCCCAGCCAGGCACCCCGAGCAGCATGGACAACCCAGAAAGCGCAGAGATGAAATGTAACCTTCCTTCCTCTTTTTTGGAGTGTGTGGCATATATTTGGGGCTGGCATAGCCTACACTAATTTAGGAATTTCTTAGTAGAGGTAGAACACAATGTACTCATTGATATTGTGATTTATCTGCTCTTGCAGGGGGTGAGAAATGCTCCAGAGTGTCCCCAAGTGTCCACCCAGCAGTCAGTGCTAACACATGTTTGTTGAGTGAATAAATGAGCAGATGAGTGGTGCTGCTTGATAAGGATTGTTTCTGGAAATCAGCCTGGGGCCTCTTTTTGGGGGGAAAGGGCTGCACCAATCTTGTACTTGCGGAGTCCACAGTGTCACTTCTCTCCTGTCTGAGTTGGATTGAGTCAGCTCTCTGCTCAGCAGATTCCGCTGGCACTGCTCTTAGCATCAGCAAGAATTCTTTTTAACAGTGCAAACCATTGTACTTCTACTGTATTTCACTACTTTCCAAACAAGTGATATGAAGCATGTGGATATTCTTGCCCTTTACTACCTGATAATTGTCATTATTTTTCAAAACCAAAAAAATATCTCTTCCACAAAGAGCTCCACAAGCTGGCTGACAGTGTTGTTGCATCCCTGGGGCAGGGCGGGGAGGGGGGCACAGGACAACCTGAGAGCTGTTTCAGGAGAGAGCTGCAGAATGTTGACGCCCCTTCCCCAGACTCCAGACCAACCTCTAGGCCTCTGTCTGAGGGTTGCTGAGAGGGGAACATGGGGACTATGCTCCCATTTCTGCCCTTTCCAGATATGCCTGCCAGAATGCCCCCGGAAGGTCTAGCAGCTTCTTCCTGTGTGCCGAGCCTTGCCCTGGGACACTCAGCTGCGCCTAAACTGCCTCCCCAGTACCTGTGGGCTCCTTCAAGTGTCAGCTGCATCTTACGCATCTTTGTCCACCCAACACAGTGCTGGTTCATGGGAGCATTTCAGTATTTCATGAGCTGATAGACACAGGGGTTCAGCAAAGCATGCAAGCACCACAAATTACCCTGTCGTCTTTCTTTGATCTTGAAATAAGGCTGACTTTGGTCGATTGTACCAGTTATTGAAATACTGAAATAGGTCCATTCTTGTTGGCAAGCAGCTTCTGCTCACCTGTTCCCTTCCCACCCCACCTCCTGTCCCTCGATTATCTCCCCTGCTTCTGTCACTATCCCAAATCCCAGCTCCTCCCCTAGATATTACCCTGTGGACCAAACCAGCAACGAAAAGGTGAGCACCTAAGCGAGCAGGTTTCAAAGCTATGGAGAGCAATGCCTATTAGTAGGAACCCAAAGGACACCCTCCTGGGCTACTGGCTTCCCCAGAAATACCAGGTGGTTGCCCAAACCCTGTTCTTGCCCTCAGGGAGGGCATGAGGCCTCTCTCCTAGGTTTCTGCCAGCATGCCCACCAGCCTGCCCAGGGCTCCTGTGTGCCTGTTGGCATCCTTGGGTGTCCTTCCAAGAGGACACAGAGCCGGCAGGGAGCCTGGCATGCTGGTAGCCACTGCTGACACATGGCAGGCAAACGTGAAGGGTGTTCCTGGGAGAGCTGTCAGGTGAACAATGACAGAACCTCGGCCGGGGCCAAGGAGACGGACTGGGTTTTCTAAACTCTTCTGGGACCCTGCGGCACCCAAAGGTGGGAGGTCACAGGCTGGCTCATTTGTTCCAGCGCTGCCCATGCAGGTGGAGGGCTCAGGTCCCCATGTCACACATGCTCAGCCTCCACCCCCCCGTCTATACCGAGTCTCTAACCCCAGAAGGCACTGAACAAACTGCTCCTTCAATGAAAATGACAAGGATAGGCGAGGTCATGTCTATCATGCAATGAGCTCATCTGAAGCCAGGTCTGTGTAATTAATTACAAGGTGTAGTTATTATTTCGAAATATCTCTTTCCAATTCAACAAGTGGCAGAGGTGGTTCCTAGGAGGCAAGACCATACAACTCTGAGCTGTGTGGCCACAGAGGTGACAAATCTGGACTTAGAATGCAAGCTGTGTGTTCAGACTGAGAGCGCAGCCTCTGGGAGTGCTTTTGAACTATTGCGCAGATGGTGTCCCTGGTTACCTGGTACACAAATGCCTACAGCAAAATTCGGTTGCATTGCTGGGAAACTTTTTTTTTAACAGTAGTACTAATGGCCTTTATTGGCTGCAACAGGGAGTGGAAAAGGGAGGCATACGACAGCTCCGGCTCCTGGGGCCGCTTCACAGACTGTGGCTGCCTCCAAAAGGCTAGCAATCTTTTTGTTTGTTTTGTTTCTTCATAGGTTTAAGCAGTTTAATTTCTTTGCTGGGGACATCGACAGACCTCCACGTATTCCTGAATTGTCTGTCTTCAAATCTCCAAACATTTGTCTTCCAGGTACAAAACCATATTTTTTTTAAAGGGAAGAAGTAGGTGTTGGTCATTCTAGCTACACAACAGCACCAAGTGCCCTTGACCTGGTGGAATGAGAAAGATTATTCTCTGGCCAGAAATGTGCCAAGGCTGGTGTGGATGTTAAGGGCAGGGAAGTGTCTCACTCCCTTAGCAAGTGGGAGTCAGAGGCTGGCACATCAGGCAGGTGTGTGTGCAGGGGGGCACACGTGTGCGTGGTGAGCATGTGAGCTCAGGTGTGTGTGTGCAGTGAGCCTGTATATGCAGGTGAGGGTAAGTGAGCGTGTGCGTGGGGACCATGGGTGAGCGTGTGCACCATGGAGAGCGACGGAGGGGCGGCGGTTTCCTCTGTCTGGGAGAACAGTACTCGTTTGTGTATTTTGCAGAAACATCCCAGTAAAACATCAGGCTCGATTTTGCAAAATCAAAGATGAATTGGTGTTGAACGTGGGTGGATTTGGTCCTTCTGAAAGGCTAGCAATCTTTTGCTCCTTCGGGAGCTGTTTCAACAGGGCCCTTCGGCTCAGTTGTCAGCACCATCTGCCTCAGCAGTCACACTTCCTGAGCTGACAATGCCATCAGAGAAAACCACAGCGCCCTCCGCCCAGTGGGCCCATGGGGGCGCGGGGGGAGCTGAGGCTGTGCATGGAAATGTAGACCAGAGCCAGGCAGCCCAGGCCACCCGCCTGGGGCATTGCCCACGCAGGGAGGCAGTTCTGAAGGGCCCGGG